ACGGCAAGGCTGCAAAGCTGCACCTCGCTTATGGACCATCCAGGCCGCATTGATCTTGCAATCTATTGCCACCAAGACCACATCACATTGGATGCTCAATCATTCCACACTATTTGCCGATGACGGATGTTTTCATCAGGCTGTGCACTCTCTAAGTGATCTGCGCACTTTGCTGGTCTTTTTGGGCAGAGTTTTAGATGTGCTGGAGGCAGCTGACATGAAGATTAATTTGGAGAAAACAACTGCTCTTTTGCGCCTTGTTGGACCAATGGCAAACAAAGCTCACCAACAATTTGTGAAGCGAGGCAAACATGGTGGAGCTTGGTTGAAAATTCCGAGACAGGATGGTAAGTTCACATACATTAAACTGGTGAAACACATACAATATTTGGGGGCTACCATCAGCTATTTCAACTTTGAACGACAAACCATGCAGGCCAGGCTCAAAGCGGGTGACAAAACCAGTCAACAACTCACCAGATGGATTCACACCACCAAAGGGTTTCAAATTCCTCAGAAGGTAAAAGTCTGGAGACAATGTGTGTATGCTTGCTTCAGATACAGTTTAATACCGATTGGATTCCATGCAGCTTCTCTTAAATTGTTTGACATTGCATGCATCAAACATTTAAGAAGGATTTGCAGGCAGCCGACCCACCTTCACTCAGACACTCATGCTGAATTTTTGGACCGCAATAATCTCCCTGATCCCTTGGAACTGCTGCTGAACCATTGCAGAACAGCTGCGAAGCGTGATGCCCTGAGACGACAACAACTGGCTGACAATGACATTCTTCTCTACCTCCCTGAGATTGATTATGAACAACGATGCCAGGTACTTGTGGAAGTGTGGCAATCACTTCGTGGATGCCGCAACAACTTTGTGGTGCCTGAGCCAGATACTCAATTTGAATGTTCTCATTGTCAACAAGTTTTTGTTTCATTGTCTGCCTTACGCAGGCATCAAACCATTGAGCATGGAGACAGAACAGGACCACTGCGACCCATTCAACTTACTGACATCAGTGCGGGCTTGCCCACATGCAATCGATGTGGTCAATGGTTCACTACATGGTCACGATTACAATATCATGTTCAATTTGTTTGCACTGCGCAGCAGCAGGACCCTATTGACCCGGGTGAAGAAGTCGAACATCGACTGCGTGTTCAAGAATTTCTTCAGTATGCAAGCAGTCAGCAAATGCAGGCATTGTCACAGCGGCCGGATCTCTTGGCGTACTTTCACACCAGATGCTGTATTTGTCAACACTTTTGTGTTACTGCCAGAGGGCTCTTGACACATTTACAAACGGCACACAATGAACTGTTTCGCAAACATGAAGCTCACAACAACTTCTTGCTCAGTCTTTGTGATTTCAGTTCCCCATGCCCTTTGTGTGGTGTTGCTTACAAACAGTATCACAAATGTATCTTGGTCCGACAATTGGCCATGCTGCTGACTCGAGAAGGGTATGAAGCCCCACCAGGAATCCAGTCTGATGACTTGACGTGTCCCGTTTGTTTCAAGGTGTATACTACGCGACACGGGCTTCAGCGCCATTTGCAAGAGTACCACCAAGCCACTGAGGACTGCGACAGAGTTGCAGATGATATCATTGACATCAGATGCCAACTGTACGAGGCCATCCAGAACAACCGATGTGCCGACCTTTTACAGCTGGCAGAGGTCCAATCCTTCTTGGCCACCAGGTGCATTCCTTGCAATCGGCAGTTTTCCAGACGTCAAGAATTGACCAGGCACTTCAAACACAATCATCCATCTGAATGGCATGAATGCGAAAAACGTGCATTGGTTTTGGACAATCGGTACAAACCCCAATTTGGCTGCCTTTGTCAACCACAACTGCACAGCAAGCATATTTGCACCGTATACCTGCAGTTTGCCCTCCTGAGGATTGAACATGAGCGGGAACAAGATCTGGCTCCGACAGTGCAGCCTCCTGACATGTTGCTGACCCTTGCAGAACAGATTGAACCCTTGCTGTGGAATGGACAAGTGAAGCTCCTGTACAAGAAGCGCCAAGTGAGATTTTCTCTCACAACTAGCTGCCAGCTGTGTGACTTGCGTTTTGGTTCTGCGCAACAACTGACTGCCCATCTACAAGAGCAACATGCTGCTGTCTTGCAGGAGACCATGCATCTGAAGGAATTGCTCCATTGGGTGCTGTTCATGGACTTGGGATGCTTCTGCAACCCCAGCTGTGGCTGGGGAGAGGCCCATCATGAGTGCGTTGGGCTGACTCAGCTTGCTTTTATGATTCAGGATTTCAATTGGCAAGTGTTGATCCCCTGGACTTTCACTTCGGTGGACTTGACAGATGTCCTTGAACCTCTATTGCCCCAACCGGTGCTTCTTCGAGTGACTATGGCAATGATGACACGCAATTTCCACCGCCTTTGGGAAGATTCTGAACTTCAACGTATGCTGAATCACAATTGCCTTCTCTGCCAGGAAGAAGTCACTATGGAGCGGCTCCTGCCTCATCTAGTAGCAAAGCATGGAGTGACAGAGGAAAGGCTCAGGTACCTGACCTATCAGCTCTGCACAGTTTTTGCACATCTCTTGACTGCAGGTGGACATTGTGAGTGGTGCGGAGCTGTGCTGCCCTGTCGAATTGAGGGGGACGAGCTTGTGGAGTATCCAGAAGAACATCTGTTCAAATGTCCGATGGTGATTCAATATAGCATTTTGCTGATGATGCCTGTTTGGTCGAAGCCGCCACTGGCACCTTTGAGCTGGCCTTCCCACGAGGCCATGCAGCAGCGCAGAGGCAGGAAGACTTGAAGCTCTGGCAGTTCAATGCTGAGCCCTCAGACACGTTTGGCTTATCCATTGACTTGCTGGCACAAGGAGGTCTTTTGATGTTACAGGATCCGTTGATTGCTGACATGGTGAATCACAAATGCCTCCTGTGTCATAAAACCTTCTTTTCCTCCATGCGCTTTTCGGAACATTTGCATCGCAATCACAACTTTTTGCAGATGCTCACTTTGATGTGTTATCACAGATTGGTTTTGCGTTGTTCCATGCCCTGCCGTTTATGTGGCAAGCAGCACCACGATCAACCGTGCCTCCCTTTACAGAACCTTGCCATCTTCTTGACGAATGGCTATGGAATCCGAGGAGGTAGAGGGCATCGACGCAGCTTCCAAAATATGGGGCAATTTGCTGAGCAAAGAACAGATGAAAGTGCTGGGAATCGATGGTCCTACAGACGGCAGCAACAAACGGCACAAACCAGAACAGCAGAAAAAGAAGAAGGACAACAGGTCCAATTCGGAAGCATCCACAACGGTGCCGACCTCTCTTTTGGTCAAGTTGTCGAAACTGGTTTTGAGACACGAAGACTCCATCAACGTGTTGCTCCAAGAATCGGAGTTCATACTCCATCTGAACCCGGGGAAAGGCAGTGTCCTGCCACTTTTACTCCAAACCAGCCGCACTTGGCACCAAAACAGCCAGGACAGACAGATGCCACTGAGACATCTCTTGGCCAGCACCATGATGCAGACCTTGGAGGCCAGAACCAAGATTCTGATGGAGGCGGCCCCGACGGAGGCGCTTTTTCGAGATTGTGTTCAATACCATTTGGTGGTCAACAATCAAGATCGGACGATGCCGTTCCTCCGTTGGGACTCGAAGCATCGTTGTTTACAACCGACGGAGGCCCCAGGAATTCCGATTGCAGTGGCATACAAGAATGTTTGCAGCATTGTGCGGCTGATGTCAGACAGCAGTGTGACGCTGCGATTTCACGCACTTCGCAAAACGAAGGAAGACCAGGATGCTCAGCAACCGGTTCCTTGGCTGTGGACTCTCAGTCTTCGAAACAGCCCGGAGCTTCAGCAGCAGTTGGCTGCCTTGTCGCATCACGCCATTTGGCAGCTCATCCAGGTGAGATTGAAGCCACAGACATTGCAGCGCCAGCCACTGGCCACCCAGATTCAGAAGGCACTTTGAGATTTGGCATTGTGCGCCTCTTTCTCAACCCCTCTGGACGTGCCTGCGCCGCAAATGCAGTGATTGCTTGCCTTGCTTGGTTGATGCTACTGGCAGAGGGATTCATCTATGAACTTTGGCACAGTGGGTTCGAACTGATGAGGAACGTGGTAGCATGCAATTTGATACCCATGGATTTGCTACGACATGACCCTTTTGGTTGGTTGCTAACAGGGGAATGGTCAATTGAGAGATTTCTTGAACAACAGCAAGATGCTACTGAATTTTGCACTTACCTCCTCAATTTTACAAGACCGAGATTTCTCAATTGCCAATGGGATGTGCGCCCATCTTTTGTGGATGGCTTGAACTCCGTGCACCTGGCTCACGAAAAAGGCAGCCAGTTCACACCAATCAAAATGCCCTTCATTGATCATTTGGCAGACACATGCATGTTGCAAGATTTGATTTTTGCCTGGCATGATGACCAAGGTCTTTGCAGAGCAATTACAGAGGTCGGGTTTCAGCTAATTCTTTCAATTGATCGCCACATTGATTCAGCATCCATGAAGTGCCAGCAGAACATTGAATGTCCAATGCAACAGATTTTGATGCCTCGTTTTAGCAATGCCAATGGCGACATCGTCTTTGACTCATTTGAAATGTGTGGGGTTGTGTTTCACTTGGGGGACACACCAAACACTGGCCACTATCGAGCGGGCCTCAGACACAAAGGCCAATGGCTATTGTATGAGGATGGATGTATTCCAGACAGAGTTCCAATTTTACCCGAAGTGGTCAGACGAAATTGTGTTTTGCTCTGGTTTGTCAGATCCACTGCACGAAATGCCAGGACGATGGAAACAGAAGGTGCTGCTTTCAGAACCATTCCCAGCACCCGAAATCCATTGCTGAGCTCAAGATGGTGAACTTGGGCTTCCGTGCTTTCTGGTATTTTTAGCAGTGCTAGGGGCATACAGGACTCATGGAATCGAACTTCAAGTCACTTGCATGCACTTAAGCTGCTGCGCTCCTTCGGATGGCACTGGCTAGCTGGCATTGGAACTTCTTCTTTTGCGCTGCGCTGCTTTGCTCTTCCTACGCTGAATGGTGCGGCTGTCAGCAGCGGGTGCCTCCAGCAGATAGCAGCGGCTGAGAGCATTTTCTTCTCACTTTTGCATACTTTACTCTATAGGTGCATCAGGCTCAACTAACAACCACCTGTTGAGGGTTTCCTGATTTTTCACCTATTTCTTCAACTGTAATCCTAAGGGATATTAGTGTGGTAAGACCACCAACCTGCGACGGACGTCCAAATTCGCAGCGTTTGGTGGCCGACAGTTAAACTGTTGCCGAGCTCGCCTGCTGACACAACAAGGTGTTAATGGGGTAGGAAACACACACACAGACACACACACACACACCCTAGGCTGTTTCGTGGGGGAATTCGGTGCCTTAGCCGCTATTCCTATTACCCCGGAATAGATCAACCAAGGTTAATCAATCTTTCTCATATTGATGATAGTTTTCCATTTAAAAAGCCCGCAAAATCCAATAATTTCCCATGAAGATCCGAGAAAAATGGATCAGATAAATTGGTCCCTAAAAATATGGTGCGCCCAAGTTTGTGGGGATGAGGTGTTGGATTTCGACCATATACCCTCCGCATGTCAAACATGGCTGGCTGGAAAATCCCCGAATGGAATGGGCATTTCAAAGGGAACATTATCGAACTAAACGGGGATTTATATGATGTTATAGCCCTTCTTCTCTGATGGCTAGGTCTAGGCAGGTGGGCTTGTTTTAAATCGGCGGTCAAAAAGTATCACAGACATGTCATGGGCATCTTTTTCTTGGATATTTGGATATCTCTGGATTTGGAATCAGTTTGCTCCATGTTTGATAACATCAGAGGGTATGGGAATGAACATCCCGATCCAGTTTCGGTGATTGAAATTCGCCAGGAATTCTGTGGATGCGAAGCACGGGTGGTGCACTTTCCCAGACCGGCACCCCGACATGGCAATCCTCGACTTGGAACCTTCAAAAGCCATGAGCATCAGATATTTTCATATATATACACACTATATATTATATTATATATATACTATATATAATATTATATATTTATATATAGACACATTATGGCACCGTGGTATTTAAATAAATAAGTAAATAAATAAATAAATATATATATATATTTACATACACATATTTACACACACACATTTACACATTATTTATATATATATATATATTTATTTTAGTAACATTAATAGCGAAATTAAAGTAGTTACTGTGTATGCTTATCCCATGATTTTCTTTAGCCTCGAGATCGACGCGTGGCAGGGCGAGCTAAGCAAACAGCTGACTTGACACAGAGAAGGATCAAATGCTGCCTGGGCACCAAGGCTTTTCGAACAGAATTGGCAATACAACGGCACAAGCTGGCGCAGTTGAGAAAGGTCGGGATTAGTTGTTATTTGCTTGTTTTTTTGGTTGTGGTTGTGGTAGTCGTGGAACTCGTGGTCGTAGTGGTCGTCCTGGTCGTTATGGTCGTCGTGGTCGTCGTGGTCGTGGTCATTGTGGTCGTGATCGTCGTCGTCGTCGTCGTCGTCGTTGTCGTCGTCGTCGTCGTCGGCGTGGTGGTGGTGGTGGTGGTCGTTGTTGTTGTTGTTGTTGTTTTTGTTGTTTTTGTTGTTGTTGTTGTTGCTGTTGCAATTGTCGTGATTGTTGCCGTTGTCGCCGTTGTCGTCATCGTTGTGGTCGCGGTCATGCATGGTCGTGATTGTGATCGTGATTGTGATCGTGGTTGTGGTCGTTGTGGTAGTGGTTGTTGCGGTTGTTGTGGGTTGTTGTGGGTTGTTGTGGGTTGTTGTGGGTTGTTGTGGGTTGTTGTGGGTTGTTGTGGGTTGTCGTGGGTTGTCGTGGGTTGTTGTGGGTTGTCGTGGGTTGTTGTGGGTTGTTGTGGGTTGTTGCGGGTTGTTGCGGGTTGTTGCGGGTTGTTGTGGATTGTTGTGGGTTGTTGTGGGTTGTTGTGGGTTGTTGTGGGTTGTTGTGGGTTGTTGTTTGTTTGTTTGTTTGTTTTTTTGTTTTTGTTTTTGTTGTTGGTTGTTGGTTGTTGGTTGCTGGTTGTTGGTTGCTGGTTGTTGGTTGTTGGTTGTTGGTTGTTGGTTGGTTGGTTGGTTGGCTGGCTGGTTGGTGGGTTGTTTGGTTGGTTGGTTGGTTGGTTGGTTGGTTGGTTGGTTGGTTGGTTGGTTGGTTGGTTGGTTGGTTGGTTGGTTGGTTGGGTGGTGGTGGTGGTGGTGGTGGTGTTGATGTTGTTGCCGTTGTACTTGTCGCAATCTTTGCAAAATGTTTGGCATGTTGTGTTACGAAGCACCCACCGTCACTCGTGATTTGGCAATCAGATTCTCAGTGATTTTCAGCGAAACAGTGGCAACTCGTAAGCGGAACAATGCAGGAACTCAGCGTATCATTTGATCCCGACAAAAATATTGAAAAGCTCATGGTCAAGGCGAAGGTGTGGACCGTGGGCGTTTAACCCTGCAACTTTCCAACTCCCATAGCCCATTGATGTAACTTCACCACACTTGGGGCGAAGTTGGGATATTGGGGTTGTAAATGGGTATATTTCACCATAGTTGTGGGATGCCACGTCCCAAATGATGGAGGTTAGTTATATCTCAATTTTAGATTACACATCCCATGACAAAAAAACTTGATATCCATTCTTTCTGTTGTTTCTCCATGTTTTTCCCTCGATATGATTATGTATTCTCTACATATCCCTGCATGTTTTGACCATGGCACATATGCCATTGGTCCCTTTTTTACCATCGCTGCGTGGCTGCCAGGTTCAGAAGTTGGAATTGCAAGAGGTAGATTATCAACGGCTGAACGCGTTGGAAGGCGTTTATGATTGGCTCCCGCTTCTTGATGAATGGACGATTTTTTGGGATGATGCTGGGGAAAAAACCAGGTGTGTATAATATATATATGTACTTTATAATATATATCTTTATCTATGATACACAGATGTACACACTATATATATATATACACATATACACAATATTATATACACATACATAGACATGTAGAGAATTGCACATTCTCCGAAAGGCCTGGGTCTTGTACCGAGGATTCGCGTGCCGCATCGCGTTGCCAAGAAGGAGGCCAGTGTAGATCCATGGTTGCTGATGTGGTCCCGGTAAACCCAAAGTAAACCTTTTTTGGGGATGGTTACTATTGGGTTTCACACACTGATTTTTGGGAAACCCACATCTCCAGGAGCGATTCTTGCCCGGCGCAATGGCGCGGTTCTTCAAACCTGGCCTCATCAAAAACCAAGCTGGCTCGTGGAAGACCGCGGCTTGGGGGGCACAGGATGGAGAAAGTGGCAGTCACATGATTGAAACCCTTGAAATCAGAGATTTTCACATATTTTCACCAGGTTTGCTCTTTGACCATGAGGTTTTGGGATACTTTTTCCAAGATGAGCCACAGCAGCATCATGGAAAAATCCTCAGGAAATTGACTGGGGAATGGATTACTCTTCAATACTTTTTTGAGCCATAGATTATGGAGGAAAACATCTTCTCCCACGGAATCTTAGACTTTAGGCCAGCCGATCGCATCGAAAATTTGCATGATGTTGTCGATACTGTTTAAATCTTTCGACAATGAAACACATATCACATATTCAATGATGGTGAAACCGTATTGCTGTAAACATAAGAAAATGTCAACATCAACTGCATCAATTATTTTTTTTTACAGCCTCTATTGGTAGTTAAACCGGCAGTTAACCCCCATTTGTTTCATATGGTGGGAGACAACCTTAGTACACCTCCCAAGCCTAAAACGCAACAGGAGATATTGGAGCGCACCAGTGCGCATGAGCCACTTGGGTTTGAGGTCACTCTGGATGGAGCTCTGAAAAAGCGTGATTCAAGCTGATTCAAGGATGCACAATGTGTTATATATGTTATATATGTGTTTAGATACATACATATGGATTCAACGACGAAAGATTGGCATGCGAACATTTTTTTTATGTGTATGATCTATTATTTGTCAAAAGTTGGGATACCCGATTTTCAGACCACTCAGTTCTTGATTTCCATGTCGATGCTTCAGCTACGTATTTAGTGGGCCTTTGCCCCGGTCACCGACGATTGCTACAGCATGGTGGAATCCCTGCGGGGATGGCGACACGAGGCAAGATCTACAAGAATGCCGACCTCTCGGCCTTCCTTTACCTTTGCTTAAACAAGAGCAGTTGCCTGGCCGAAGTGGGATGTCACGACTGGGACTGGGATGCCAGAAAATATGGCAAAAAACGTCGCAAGGTTTTATAATGATCGAAAAAAGAGATGGCAATTCACCAAAAACCTGGGATTATCCATCTGTAATAGTAATGATATGCAATGATCTATAATCTATTCAGTGACACCAGATGAATCAACTTCCGTTGTGCGCGGATGGGCTCAAAAACTTGGACACAGAAGACTCGTTTATTTTGTTGCCGGTGCTCGAATTTAATCCATGAAGATCTTCATCTATGAATGATGATTTATCAATGATACCCTCTGGTAAACTAACATAACGATGCAAAATCACCATTTTTCATGGGTAATTCAACTATAAATGGCCATTTTCACTAGCTATGTTTGTTTACCAGAGGGTATATCATAGGATATCATATTTTGTCCAATAGAAACACATTATATATGAACTTATATATCTTATAGTCGGGGACGGCCTGAAAGCAGAGACTAATCTGCTTACTACATTTGCCGGAGGCCAAAATCAGGCAAATAAGAAATCACCTAAGTAAGACCTGAGCATAAACACCTGTAGTAAGCAGCTATATGAAAATAGGCACCAAAGATAATTTCAGAATCTGCTTGCTACAGTTCCCTTCGGTGAAGTGTTGACCCTCGCCTCTTCCAGGCTAACATTTTAAGCAAACATGTCTGAAGTTGCTCCAGGGATGGTATATGTTCAAAAAAGTAACTCTATATAAATATTCAACAATCAAAAAATATCAGGGAAATATGTAAAATGGACAATCTAGGTGCAAAGGCTATTCCTTGGGGTACATTTTCCGATAAGACTAAGGTACAAAAAACAGGAAAATCCAGAAAAAATCCTGATTTCCTGCCACTTTTTGACACCAGAAAAAGTGATTTGAGGTGGTCACAAAGGGTTTGCCCCGGGATTGCTGACCTCCCACAATCTGACCAAATACTAAGCCCAGTGGCATATTCCAAAAAGATATGGGTCTGAGTGGGTCTCAGGTGTGCTTCGCTAACTGGTTGGGGGGCCGACACTCTCTTGTGGCAAGGAAAGATGAAAAACAAGGCATTAAAATAGATTGTTGGAAATTTTCTTTGCAAAAAAAGGTTGCTTTACCCTTGTGGGCAGTTGGCAGTTGATGAATCCTGGGTCAACATGTACATTACGACACGCACCCCCAGTAAGCAGATTCCAGGAATCTGCTTACTGCAGCTAGGTCAAATTTGCATATTCCAAACAGATATGGGTCTGAGTGGGTTTCATTTTTGCTTCGCAAACTGTTTGGGGGGCCGACACTCTCTTGGGGCAAGGAAAGATGAAAAACAAGGCATTTAAATAGATTGTTGGAAAATTTCTTTGCAAAAACATGTTGCTTTACCCTTGAGGGCAGTTGGCAGTTGATGAATCCTGGGTCAACATGTGCATTACGACATGCGCCCCCAGTAAGCAGATTCCAGGAATCTGCTTACTGCAGCTAGGTCATCTAGATGTGGCTGGTCTGGTTTGGGGTTATTGACCCAAATGGTTTGTTAGCAGGTCAGCAAGTCAAGCGGACACAAATGACATGAAATTTGAGGAAGTTCGGTTCAAGGTTTCTGTCAGCAATAAGGGAAATTAAAAGGAAAAGATGGCAGAACCGCTTCTGGCTGATCTATCTCTTGTTACTTTTTAGACCAGAAAAAGTTAGTTTGAGGCGGGCACAAAGGGTCTGCCCCAGGACTGGCCTCCCACAATCTGATTGACTACCGCTCCCTCTCTGTATACATTTTTCGATTTCCAAACACTGTGTGTGTGTGCGTGTGTGAAAGTAGGGGTATATGTGTCCCAAAATACCAATATTTACAGGAACAAATGCTGATTAAGCAGTAGGTTTAGACGTGGTGCACCATGTTTTTGGACAAAACCCCAAACAGAGGTACAGTAGAGTTGATCTCAAGATGATGCGGGGGGAGAAAATCTGCTTTCTACCGAGCCCCTTCCCCACAAAAAAAGTAGGGGCCACGCAGTAAGCAGGAAACCTCGCTGTGGTTTGAGCAGGGCAGTAAGCAGCTCTGGGCTCAGAGCAGGACCTTGTATAAACCCCGAAAGTACCCTCCTGCTTACTACTTTGGCTTGACTGGTTCCTGCTTACTGGGTGTCCCTGACTATATACATAAAGAAACAAGGGTTTTCCAACGATTTTCGCAGCAAAAGATGGTGAATTCCTTGTTTCCAGCAGCCGTGTCTTTTTTTAAGGTATGGAAGAGAACTGGTACCTGACCAAGAGAGATGACATGATCACCTGGGCGGGCAAGACCTTCAGACATTTGAGGAACCAAAGCGTCCCGGTCCTGACGGTCTGACTTGGGGAAAGACATGGGTAAGTTGTATATCAAAGCGCTGGATCTGGCTCTGAAGTGATGTTTTAAAGAGCCATTGCCAAAACTTTTCATTGATTCCATTCGCTCTTCTCTTTCGCCATCCCTTTCGTGAAACTTTGGCAGTGTGGGGTCTTTCTCTCGCGGCATCCACGTGTCTCGTGAGCTTTCGCAGAAAACTCCTGAAACGAAACCCGTGGCTTCTGTCCTGAAGTACAATATAAAGTTTGTTCCGCTTGTTCCCAAACATTCTTTCACCGGCAGTTGTTGTGCTGGAGTTAAAATCGTCGTAACGCGTGGTTGAAGTTTTTAACACTGATTTGGGGGACGAAACCGGGGACGAGGATTATCAGTAGTAGCTTTGCACAAAACTACTTGAAATTCATGAAAGACCTGCTTGCTAGCCATTCGCTGACCACTCTTAGGGGGGGTTCCAGCTAGTTGGGGCTCTTGCAGAGCTTGCGCGAAGCTTTCGAGGATTTTTGGGTCACATCCTGGACATTTGCTGACAATCTGACCTTATGGATCCAAAAATATACATCCTGAGAAGGAAGAGAAGGTACTTATCCCCAGAATTCATACCCACTTACTTCAGACGATACTTAGATCATCTTAGATCCATGATTTTGGGCGTTCAAATGGCTAAATGATAGCTTTGACGTGTCCAACCCATGACTTGCAAATGTGCCATGATTCATGTTTCCTGAAACAGTCTTTCGCGAGCTTTCGCGCAAGCAACTCTTCACAAAGGCTAAAGGTTTTTGCCTTTTTTTTTGCGATTGTGGTTTTGACTTTTGCGGAGCCGGGTTACTTTAGCCTCCCTTCTTATTATCACTCATGGGTGCGGATAACATGGGGATGACCGTTAACCTATAACCGCAAATTTCTGAAGTCCGTTTGTTTTCCCCGAAAGAAAAAGACGGTTTCCGCTTTTCCGCCCATTTTTCCCTTACTGTGAACCAACCCAATGAATGACCGCATTTGGCCAAAGGGCACCCCACCCCCTCCTAGGCGAAGAGAACATCACCGACAGACTGTCGGACTGGGCTTTGTGGAGGGATCCGCAGTGAGCAACCAAACTTGGGATTTGACTTTAAGAAACTATTGGAGCAAGAAAGTTGGGAATGAAACTTACAACACTTTGCAACTAGACTTGGAGATTGTGAGCAACAAGACTTGGTGGTAAGATACCCTTCTCAAATCCAATCAGGCAATGGAAAGCCCCAAAGCTGAATAGTTCAAGCATCTGCCAATGGGAACATTTCCATGGCAAAGTCAAATATTGCAAGTGGGAACATGGCCGATCTATGACACTTGACTCCTGCGTCAGAACGAACAGTTTCTGCAGAAAGTCTTCTTTCGCATGGAGTGTACGGGGACAAAGATTGGAAGAGACAACAAGGTGACGTACAAGGCGGGTGTCCTGTGTGTTGTTCATTCCAATGCCCAGGATTTTGGACAGCCCCACGTGGCACCAGTATACATCTTGTTAGTTTTTTCAAATCCTACCGAGAATCAGGGGGATGGGGATGATGATGATGATAATGATGATGATGATGAGGATGAGGATGACGATGACGATGACGATGATGATGATGATGATGATGTTTCCTACTGTTATTATTATTACTATTATCATTATTATTATTATTAAAATTACTATTCTTATTATTAAAAGTAGTACCACACAAGGAGGCGGCGGAAGTTTCCGAAATAGGAAGCCTATAGGAAAGGTTGTTTGTTGTGAATCACGGATGGCAGAGCGAAGCCACTGATGGACCCAAAGGTGGTTGAGGTCTCCTCTCTTTCTCTCTCTTTCTCTCTCTTTATCTCTCTTCCTGTCTCTTTCTCTCTCTTTCTCTGACTATCTACCTACCTACCTATCTATCTACCTCTATCTATCTATCTATCTATCAATCTATCTATCTATCAATCAACCAACCTATCTATCTGTCTGTCTATCTATCTGTCTATCTGTCTATGTACCTATCTATCTACCTATCTGTCTATCTATCGATCTATCTATCGATCGATCTATCTATCTATCGATCGATCGATCTATCTATCTATCGATCTATCGATCTATCGATCTATCTATCTGTCTACCGATCTATCTATGTATCTCTCTTCCTCTCTTTCATCTAATTACCTATCTATCCATGTATCTATCTATCTATCTATCTATCTACCTATCTATCTACCTATCTATCTATCTATCTATCTATCCATCCATCCATCCATCCATCCATCCATCCATCTATCCTCTCTATCTTATCTATCTTATCTATCTTATCTATCTTATCTATCTTATCTATCTTATCTATCTTATCTAATCTATCTAATCTATCTAATCTATCTTATCTATCTTATCTATCTAATCTATCTAATCAATCTAATCAATCTAATCTATCTAATCTATCTAATCTATCTAATCTATCTAATCTATCTAATCTATCTAATCTATCTAATCTATCTCATCTATCTAATCTATCTATCTATCTAATCTAATCTAATCTAATCTAATCTATCTATCTATGTCTCTCTCTCTCTCTCTATATCTCTATATCTCTCTATCTCTCTATCTCTCTATCTCTCTATCTCTCTATCTCTCTATCTCTCTATCTCTCTCTATCTCTCTCTCTCTCTCTCTATCTCTCTATCTCTCTCTCTATCTCTCTCTCTCTATCTCTCTCTGTCTGTCTGTCTGCCTGCCTGCCTGCCTGCCTGCCTGGCTGGTTGTCTGTCTGTCTGTCTGTCTGTCTGTCTGTTTATCTACCTGTCTATCTGCAAGCTTGAAAACGAAGCTATTCTGCGAGACTTCCTCAGTTTTTGAACTTGACAACGTCAAAAACGCAGCAATTCAGCGAGACTTCTTTAATTTTTGGCACTTGACAACGTCAAAAACGAAGCAATTCTGCGAGACTTCCTTCAAACATGGAAAGTTGAGTGCAGAGCTGACGGCCTCGTACCAATGCGTTTTGCGATTTTTCGATTCCACCTGTCTAAACTACTGCGCCTGCCACGAAAAAAAAGGAAATCAGCGCCCGGACCTCCTAACAGCTCTGATGAACATGTCTCTTGTACTGCGCCTGCCACGGAAAATGCATCTTCCCAGATCCTCTTCAAATGTCCCACGCTTGCCATCGTTTTTTGAAATGGTACAAAACCCTCACGTTTTGTTCACTTTTGGCAACGTGCGGAATCCCTTGCGCCTGCCACGCGGAACGACATCTGAGCGTCCAAAAGTGGTCCGAACCCCTGGTGTTTTTAACATTTTGACTTCGAAATGTGCTTTGCGCCACAACGGCGTACATTTTTTCGACATCTCAACTTCCAAAAGTGGTGCGACAATGGTGTGCTTTGTACATGTTGACTTCGAAATGTGCTTCGCGCCAAAACGGCGTGCACTTTTTCGACATCGCAACTTCCAAAAGTGGTCCGAAGCTGAGGTGTTTTGTACATTTTGACTTGGAAATGTGCTTCGTGCCACAACGGCGTGCAATTTTTCATCTCTCATGACTCATCTTGCCAGATGGCTCCGCACCCGCCGCTTTAGCGAGCCTACTTTTCGACGCTCCGGAGCCATTCCTACCTTTTCGCGCACCTGGATCTTCTTTCTTCTGACTCTTTCTCTTTCTTCTTCTCTTCTCTTCTCTCTGACTCTTCCCATCTCTGCTTTTCATCTGTCCATATGGTCGGAAACTTGACTTCTAAACTTCATTCGATTATTATTATTATTCCCAGTAGTACCGCACAAGGCGGTGGCGGAAGTTTCAAAAATAGGAAACCTATAGGAGAGGTTGGTTGTTGTGAATCAGAGATGGCAGAGCGAAGCCACTGATGGACTGAAAGGTGCTTGATCCCTCTCACTCTTTCTCTCTCTCTCTCTTTTGCTCTCTTTCTCTGACTTTCTACCTACCTACCGATCTATCTATCTATCTATCTATCGATCGATCTATCTATCTATCTTTTCTTTCTTTATTTCTTTCTTTCCTTTTCTTTTCTTTTCTTTTCTTTTCTTTTCTTTCTTATCTATCTTATCTATCTTATCTATCATATCTACCTTATCTACCTTATGTATCTTATCTATCTTATCTATCTTCTCTATCTTATCTATCTTATCTACCTTATCTATCTTATCTATCTTATCTATCTTATCTACCTTATCTATCTTATCTATCTTATCTATCTTGTCTATCTTATCTATCTTATCCATCTTATCTATCTTATATATCTTATCTATCTTATCTACCTTATCTATCTTATATATCTTATCTACCTTATCTATCCTATCTATCTTATCTATCTAATCTATCTAATCTATCTACTCTATCTAATCTATCTAATCTATCTAATCGATCTTACCTACCTTATCTATCTTATCTATCTTACCAACCTTATCTATCCTACCTATCTAATCTATCTAATCTATCAAATCTATCTAATCTATTTAATTTTTCTAATCTATCTAAGCTATCTAATCTATCTAATCTATCTAATCTATCTAATCTATCTATCTATCTATCTACCTAGCTGTCTCTCTATCTATTTGTCTACCTGTCTATCTGTCTGTCTATCTGTCTTTCTATCTATCTATCTATCTATCTATCTAGCTGTCTCTCTATCTATTTGTCTACCTGTCTATCTGTCTGTCTATCTTTCTTTCTATCTATCTATCTACCTATATCTATCTATCAACCAATCTATCTATCTATCTATGTATCTATCTATCTATCTATCTATTTATCTAGCTGTTTCTCTACCTATTTGTCTACCTGTCTAGCTGTCTGTCTATCTGTCTTTGTATCTATCTATCTATCTATCTAGCTGTCTCTCTATCTATCTGTCTATCTGTATGTCTTTCTAGCTGTCCATCTATCTATCTATCTATCTATCTGTCTATCTATCTATCTATCTGTCTGTCTATCTGTCTAGCCATCTACCTATATCTGTCTATCTCTTCGT